TGTAAAACAAGCTGAAAATGTTAGAAAAAAGTAACAAATCGCACCTCAGTTCTATTTACATTTGCTTGCTAAGTCAATACAAGACCAATAAAATAAAAGCTGAATACACATTAAATCATCCAAGCTTTTTATAACAAGCCATCTACATATTATTCCCTTCTTAATGCTACTGAAGCTAAAGTATAAAATATACTCTGGTATCCGCATTTTATACACAAACTAGTTCATTTATGTGCAGAAAGCGAAAAATGAAAACTTTTAAAATTATTCAGACACTGTAACAATCACCCGTCAGTCACATTTTCCTATACAGAATTATTCCTTTATGTATTTATATGAAATTACAGAAATGTTTGGGTTTCAGTATTCTTAATAAAATGTGTGTTGCCAAAGTTAAAAATTAGGTTTTACAAATGATATATATATATAAATAATGGAAAGTTATAGAAGTAAAGATTTTCTGTTGATCAAGCTGGGGCAAGAAAAATGGAGGTAGATGTAATATCTCAACATCCAACCATTTCTGTGTAAAAACTTACAGATGGGCTCAGATATAGGCGAATACTCCAAATCTTCTTCATATGCATCATGAGTCTGCTAGTTTAATCGGCGCATTTTCTATATCAGGGCCCCCTTTCATAACCTGACAACAGCCAGATGCATGTCTCGCTCCGCCCAGCTCCACTCACATAGAGCTGGGCGGAGCGAGACATGCATCTGGCTGTTGTCAGGTTACCCCTTTCATGCATGTCTTTAATGTATCCTTTATGGTGCTGAAGCAGAAATGCATTTAAAAACATGTGTCAAACTAAAGTCCTCCAGGGCCCGTGTCCTCCAAATTTTATCTGTTAGCTTGACTGCAAGCTGAGGACGGTACCAGGGACATATCTACAATTTGCATGACTTGGGTTTGACACCTCTGAAATACTCAGCGCAGAAGTACTTGCGGACTCCGGTTTGGAACTACTGGTCTAAAAAAAATCATGAATTGATCACATTCCATGTTTTCTTTGGTAATACAGTAGAAAAAGCACATCTTAATATACATATTAAAAAATTGATAAGCTCTTGTAACTGTGCTAGAAACCTCAAATTTTTTCTTTGGTGTCAGCGGGTTAGTACTGATTGTCAGGAGAGCACTTCAAGTAAGATGATGTCCACAGTTTGACCTTTGCCCCCCTTGATCTTAAGGTTTAGGTTTAAAAACAGACTGATTTTACTGAAGGATCTAAATCAAAATAAATAAAACAGCAACAAAAGCTGATGACACATTTCTCCACATTAAAAAAAGTCTGACTGAACAAAAAAGCTTTGTGATGCGGTTTGGGACAGAGAACCAGAGATAACTAACAGAAAAAAACAACAACAAATTATTATTATGAAAACAAAACACTAAAAACACTTTTGTGAATGAGAAGAAAGCTGAGGGCTGTTTCACAAAACCAAGATTCCCTGGCTTAATTACACCTCGATTCAGTTTCGCAAAAGCAGCAACACATATGTTACCATGGTGATTTAATCTACAGATAGCCTGCTTCAGACCGGGCTAACAGCCGAGCTTAGTTAATCCTGGTGTGTTAGGTTTTTGTTTTAACCAGCTTACGTTAAAGAACCACTAATAAATACTATTTACCGTAGTCATCTACTACTATTTGGCATTAGAGGATAGAATCACATCTATGCTTCCTCCAGAGAAGTATGAACTGCCTCAATGTGGGATTCTTCAACATTTAAAAGGTAACATGAGTTAGGCAACACATCATAAAATAAACTTAAGAAAAGGCAGACTGCTGCTTTTTACTTTTTGATATGGTGCGGGACTGTGCACACATTAAGATATAATGCCATAATGTGCAATAATGTGAACAGAAAATCCCAACATTCAGGTACTGTATGGTTAGGCCTCCTTTCAACTATACAAATTGATTCGGTGCATCAAACTACCTGAACACATCTAGCAGCTTCAGCGATGCCGACTGCATTTACAGCAACATGGAGCTATGGTGGGCTGATTCAGTCCATGACTCCAGAACCTGTCTCTCTCTTCTAAAACAGTCCTTCCTTTGTTCAAACTAAAGGGCCAACCTTTCTGCTGCTGTGAATCACAAGGATGGCGGACCACACCCTGCTCCAGACACATAAGCCCTTTTTTAACACATAAAATAAATTAAGAGGATCAAATATGTGTGTGGGAACCTTCTAAGTTATTAGTTTATCCAGATGCAAATAGATTTTATATTAAATCTTGACCTACTGTCAGGTCCTATTTGGTCCAGTCATATTGGTTCTGTATGAACACTGAACTGATAGGATTTGTAACAAAAAAAAATATTTTTCTGCTGCCTGATAGTTTTTTTTGTTGCCAGATTTCCTTCTTGGTGTAGCTGGGATTAGATCCCTTGTCCTCCCAATACATTTAAAGGTTTAATCCTCTACTCAGCAGAGCGACTGGTGGATCAGTTTGCTGCATCAATTAATCTGTGATCAACATCATGTTTCTTTTTTTTTTTTTAAAGAAAGCTGCAGTTGTACATGTATTTAACTTAAACCTGGCTTAACAGACCCAGTATTGTTGCACCTGGCTTGGCATTTGTGAAGCAGATAAAACCAGGATGTGCTGCTCCCTCTGGCTTTATATATTGTCTTGCATTTCTTAATTCTGCTTTTGAGAAACAGTCCTCTGGTGATCATTCTGAATCCCAATACTGAAACATATCCCCCTATTTACAGTCCTGCTAATGCCCCGGCCAGCAGTCTTCAACTCAAATCCTGGAGTGCTGCTGTCCTGCCTGTTTTAGATGTACCCCATTGCCCTACACACCTGAATGAATTTTCTAAACCACTGATTTATATATAGCTCTGATGATGAGCTCATCTTGTAGTCAGGTGTACTTAAGCAGAGAAGCATCTAAAAGTTGCAGCACGCCGGGCCTTCGAAGACTGGATTTGGCCCCCAATGGTCTAAGCCTCTGTTGCAGCGCTGCCGTTGGTGTGCGGCTTGAAACCGTTTGTTTCGCTGGCCTTGAGAGCCTGCATCTCCTGAGTGGCAGGTTGGCCAACTCTAGCCTTATATTCCCTCAGCAGGTTCCTGCGGTGGAAAAATAGATAACCTGGCAGCAAGAAGCCAGTGAATGAGACGATGAGCAGGCCCAAGTTGATCTGAAACACAGAAGGAGGACAGACTAAGCTGATAGCAAAACCAGGCATCTGAAATAGAGAGCTGTAGTAATATTTATGGGAAATCTGAATCTTTATAAAATGTGCATAATTACAATCAGCAAAACAACCTGGAATGCTTACATGTATCTTTTTCAATTGTCGCCATCAGAAATGATCATCAATAAGTAATAACTAACGATATCTTATAGGATTATCGCATCTGTATGTTAAAATGTTTTTGAACATCCCAGAAAGTGCAATATTATAGGTCAGGCTTCTGTCACTTTAGTGAAATGAGCTCTAGCAGATAGACAGGAGCAGAGCTGTTCGAGTTTGGATGAGGAAACTGGATATGCTTGTACAACTTGGACAATGATGAACAAAACAGGATATTTTATTCAGAAAGAAAGTTTTATTCAAGTTTTTGATGTTAATTGATTCTTTTCTCTTATATTACTTGGCAGCCTCAACATGGATGAACCTGAATTGACAGCAAACATCCATGCATTAAAAAACTTACAAGGAGTTTGATTCTCTTTCCAAAGCAGTCATACCGTACGGCTGGATAAAGGGACCGTAAATGTCATCATTTTCAGCTCCAACTTCCACTAACCATAACATCTTCTGATTTTTATCATCTGCTTGAGGAAATTAGTGCAAACAAATGCCAAGATCTGCTAGATCCAAAGGAGGGAAATGGCTGACACACTGAGAGCTGGTGTCCTGCAGAGTCCAGAAGTTTATCTGCTTCAACACCTGACCTAAACAATTAGCTATTTGGCAAAGCTTTTTGGAGAAAAACTAGATTCTAATGAGCCATTTTAGCAATTTGATTCGGTTGTGTAGAGCCAGAGACGCATCTAACAGATTGAAGTTGGAGACTTTTGCCTTGATAAAGGGGTGTTAAACAACCATTTATTGTTGGGATTCCCCAACTTTTTGATGTTTTCCTGGTCCAACACCTTAATGAATTCAATGGCTAATTACTGGGCCTCTGCAGAGCTTAAAGACATGCTGTCTATGGATGTAGGGTGCGTTGGAGAGCAGATCTCTAATTTCCAGTTAATATTATGTTGATATTATTTAAAATTTTTTTTACATTTTGTTTGTTCAAATTACTG